TAATAATAATAATAATAATAATGATGATAATAATAATAATAATAATAATAATAATAATAATAATAATAATAATAATAATAATAATAATAATAATAATAATAATAATAATAATAATAATAAGATAAAGCCTGGACTTACCGTATTTATTTATGCATACAGGGTGCATTTACCGAAGAACGGTGGACTTGCCTAAATGCTGTTGAATTTTCTTCCCTTAGGACATTGGTAACTAAAAGTAAACATATATTTATCAATTAATGGCATCAACCAAAAAATATTAATTAAAGAAAAGTTAATAAACAATTAATATATATCATCCACAAATGAGCTGCAGGCAATACACAAATAGTATTCAGCGCAATCAAAAATTGTGAATGACATTGTGACCTGTTCCGACACTGAAAGCAGACTTAAAAATCTTATCTGTAATATTATAGCCAGCAACTTCTCATGAAAAATATAAAAACGTATACCTAAGAATCACTAGTAAAAATAATTAGATTAGGCCTATGTGCCAGTACCAGGGCAAATACAGGGCCGCTAGCATGAGACAGACAAGGCACATTTGCTCATCTATCATGATATTCCCAGGTTTGTTCTTTATTTAAAACTATGAAAAGGAGTATTTGTCATTAAATGCCTCGCAGTTCAATACACACTTAGGCCTAGGCCTACAGCACAGGATAACTGTAGAACTAGGCCTAGCTAGGAACCGTATTTATATAGAACCATGTCAGAAAACCGAAAAACCTGACGTCAAATAACACCAACAACAAGCTATTGCAGAAAACAGGTTTTTTTTTTTTTTTTTTTTTTTTTTTTTTTTCCCGAGGGTATGAGCATTAGACCCTCAACCTCAACCCAGTGCGCCTTTGTGCTCCCTTTGCTAGCAAATCTGTTTCTAATTTTTTTTTTCAACCCTCTGGCTACCTACTTAGACCTAGGGCCGGCTTGACGTGTTTTCCTAGCCCCGGCCCCAGGCCAGGCTTTGGCCCTAGGCCTACCGACGGCTCTGACTTGTTTACGTGTTTTTTATTGTTTTTTCTAAAAGACAATCTAACGTAATGTATATCAAATAATAAACTTACCTTCCATAGTTTCATAAAATTGTATACGATCAGATTAAAAGTTAGGGTTTCTAAAAGTATCAGCGGAAGTTGAATTCAGAAAACGGACGTCACATAGCCTACATCATCCAACGAAAAACAGGCGCAAAGTGGCAATCGGTCAACGGTTGCGCATTCGCGTAGATAAATTGTCACATGACGCTTGTTGATGAATCAGTAAATTTTATTCGTGGCTAAGACTCATTATAAATGCATGGATGATGACTGTGACTACGTAGATTTATACATATAGATTAATGTGTTAAAGTTAAAGAAAACAGTTAACCTGAATAAATTGGTTAAAATTTGATTGTATCTATGTTGATTGTTTGGGTGTAGCATTGGGTACGTTTGGTCTTTATAAAATATGTTAATTACATTTCTGGAATAAAGTGGTGGTCATTTTTCGTTGCTTGCGAGATAACGTTGTGAACGCTGTGATTTAATTGTGATAAACGTGTTTGTAAGTATTTTTTCTTACGTTATTATAACGTTTTTATAACTTTTTGTACAAGGAAACTGCAAATAAAACGCAATATATGGCGACGTTTTAAAATTGTTTTTAAAACGTTTTATAAAAACGATAACATTTTTGATGATTTTGTTGTGATGTAACGTTCTGTAAACGTTGTGATTTCGTTCTATTTTATGCACCTGTTTGTAAGTTTATTTGCGTACGTTTTTTGAATGTTTTTTAACGTTTTGGTGCAAACAATCTGCAATCAAAAGGCAAGGTTTACACAGCGACGTTTTAAAATCGTTTTTAAAACGTT